CAAAAACTAGACGAGTCTGCGGTGGAAGCGAATCTCATCAGGTTAATCTGGTTTTGAAAGATGTTTTCCGTTTAATTTGTCACCGCTGAATTGAAATTTAGAGTTTTTCAAAATTTGTTGTTGTAAGAGATAGATATATAGCCCGTTCAAAAATTTTAAGTGGTTTGAGGGTAAGTATTTCCACTACTTTATTTTGCTATATGTTTCAGCTGTTTGAAGTTTTTTCAAGCATCAGCTGTTGAGCTATTGTTTTAATTATATGATCAAATGTAGAATATTTCTTTCCCAAAACCACCTAAATTTTGTGATCGCTATAGCTTTAATCCATTGCTTTACGTGCAAGGTTATTTGAGAACTAAGTAAATACTAAAGTCTTAACGATATAACAACTAGATCTACTTGTAATTGTCTATATGTTCTGCTCCCTTCAGTCTACATTAATAAATTTTATACAGCTTTGTATTTTATGCTTTCTTTGACGTTATAATGAAGGGTGTGAAAACAGGATATGCTTGCTTTACTAAGGTATTGAATGCTTTATCCCTCTGGTTTTTTTTAAACAATAATAATTACATCTTGATCAGAATCATACGTTTATTTATTTACTCGAAAAAGATGTTTGTGACACTTTATGTAGATTGAGGAAGGTTATGTTTGGTTTTAAAGAAAGGCTGTATACGTTTTGAAAAGTAATGCTCAAAGTTTCATTTTGTAATTTATATAGTAAGCTACATGTAAAGAGGCTTGACTAAAATTGAAGAATTATAATAAAACATGTCATTCATGAAGCATCAATATGAAGCAATTGATGCTATTGCTACACTAAGGTATGTTGTCATTTTATTCTGTTGGATCTATTAACTTTAAAAGTAGGGGTTTGAAAGTAAGTAGGTTTACACTTTTAAATCAGTTTATATTTTCAAACTAAATCATAGAGTTGCTGTATTTTAAAACACACATCAGCACTACTTTAATAGCTCTTTCACATTTTCATCCCGTTGCAAAGCACGGGTATAGCAGCTTGTATCAATAGATATGATTAAAAATCACAAGTAAGGAATATAATTTATAATGCCAGTGAAGGAGGTAAAGTTAGGTGATAAAATGTAAATATTTCTGGTGCTATTCAAGGAGTTTAGTACTTATTGCAAACAACTGTTGGTTTTCATTTCCTATGTTTGTAAAACTTCTGCCTAATAAGCTACGATCTTATGCCATCATCTGTACACATTAGATATTACACATTTCGAAACATCATTGTGTCCCAAAGCAATCGGTTGCACAAGACATGTGGGTGTCTCATTATTCAGGAAGCAGACGATAACTTTCTACTTCGGCCAACGAAAGTGAAACGTTCGACATTGAACTTCTACTTGGAGGCCATCGAACCACTTTCAATCGTCTACAAAGACTTATAGGTTCATGGTAATTATGTAACTTGTAGTTGTATTCGAGGCACAAAGTAATAGGTAACAATGACAAATGTTTAGGATTAGGAAGGAGAATTACAAATCCTTGCCTTTTTTGCTAAAGTAATTGGTTTTGTCAAATTTTGGGATTGAATCTGTGCTATAGTTTAGGTACATTGTATACAGTAGTTGGTTGAAAATCCTAAACATTCCAGGGGTTTTTCCATGTCCTAAATAGCACTGTGGGGTCTTCTTATATAATATTCTCTTTAATTTTCTCTTATCTTATCTTCTCAACTATAGGGGGCACTTTGCGATCATGCTCATAAGATGGAATAGATTACTGCATGAATGTAATAATTTATTGTGCAACGGTTGATATGCAAGACGAAGAGCCAACTTATGAAAGCTTAACCAGAAATGTGTTAGGCCTATAGCCTGGGAGGGGCTAGACAGATTATGCTTTACTATGCTAATTATTTTAGTTTACCAGTGAGTATTCGAATATTTCCTATTGCGTCTTTTTATTCAATTATTAATGAATATGGAAGGTAAAAATAATTATTTAAAAGTATTAAGTATTTATAACAAATTGGCTACATCTTGAACATGGGAATGGTATATACTGTATTTTTTACACTATCAAGTCCAAGCTATTACAAAAATAAAACAAACATGGTTACCGTCCGCCCCAACCGATTGTACCATCAATGTTCTCATTTGAAACCTCATTATGTAACAAGACAATACCGAAGATATTGGTTGGGAACCATAACTACCGTGCCTGAGAGCCCAGCCAACCTTGAGAAAAGACAATGGCCATAAGAGACTATGGAGGCAGAAGTAGCTTCAGGCGAGTGCATTGTGGTCGAAGGCCGGTGAGAACTCATGTGTGATAATGAAGAAGCTATAAAAGACAGGCATGTTCTAAAAAAATGTTTGCAGCCCCCATCTTTTTAAAAGTCTGTTCAAAAAGTAGTTGCAGCTTTTTGTGGATGGAGGTTTCCAATACAAAGTCAGTTGGAATAATAAAAGATCTTCCAGAGAGACCTAATAGTGGATTTCCCAATAGGGATGAAGCTATTACCCGTAGGCACATGGAAAGACTCGGTGTGGTATTCGCTTTTATATTATTTGGGCATAAAAGGTAGTCCTGCGCCAACTGGTCTCCCCGTTATCAAATTGTTATTTGAGATTTGAAAAGATGTCTTCAGGACAGAAGTGTGAAGTTCTTACTATTATTGTATTATTAGATTAACCGCACTCGATCAACCGTACAAACCTTACATGATCGATTGTTCTTGTGGCTGAACAATAATAATTTAATTGGCAAAACATAAGCCTTTTACTCGTGAAAAATTTGCCACCCTTACACAATTTGATATTCATCACAATTAAGACCCAAACAATAGTGAGATCTTTAGAACAGAAATAGAAGAGAACGATCGTTAGGATTTACAAGTTTTTGGACAAAATAGTTATGTGATACATAAAAAAAATTCTTATAATTTCAGGACAGGAGTTGGAGTTGATAAATAAACAACTCTTTGTACTTTGGCACCTCCTGATTCCGTTTTCACTTAACACTAGCAGACACTATGTCTTAAAAGAAAACTGGATACTTTTTACTCAAATATGGGGCAAGGAAAGTAAAAGTAATCAATGAATAAAAGTGACCAAGTGCTAACGTAACAGATTCACTACATGAATACATGAATGCTAGGCGGATATAACATCGTATTTGATGCATACCAATGATGAGTACAGTTAGGCATTCATGTTGAAGGTCAGTCAACTGTCATTCAACTGAAGCAATCAAAATGCAAATACCACACCATGTAACGATGTAAATACCTCACGTGTGGATTTATCATTCTGATTGTCCGTAGGCATAAGTTCTGTCGATCTTTGCAAATGTTTTTACATGTGGATACCTTTACATAGGTATACTCAACATAATACAATGTTTATTGCAAACATGTGGTTGTGTCCAGAAAATTTCAGACTATTACGATATTATGATTTATTTTATGTGAATTCAGGATTGTTTGTTTAGCAGATGCCGATTTATGGTCTACGAAGCTGATTGTTGAGGAGTAATTAATTATCGATCTCTTAGTTTGAGTAACCAGTAGATACCTTTCAATGGTTGGTTGTGTGGTGTGTTTTGGAATTTCAAAAACTAAATAGGTACATCAGGATTGTTTGTGTGAGAGGTATCTATCCATTTTCTTTTTGTGTGAAGATTCAGGATTTTCTTCATCAGATAGCAATTCATGACCCTTTCTGATTGTGCTCTTAGATAATGCATACCGTATCTGGCAAACGTTTTGTCCAGCAGATACCTAGATAGCAGATAGGTTGTGGGTTGCCAGCCTAATAAAGAAATGTTTGATTTGTGATCATTATTGGTCTTAACCAACATAGGTCTTTCAAAAGTGATAAGTTCATCTTTGTACCCCAGCAGTACAGTGCATAGAGTAATCTAGAGTCAGAGTGTAAGTCCAGTAGATATCCACAGAGTATCAAGTATCTCCGTCGTGTCTCTCGGCGAGAGATCTGAGGCGGATCGTGAAATGTTAATGGTCAGTTGCTGAGAAACTGGATGTGGTCGTGAGTCCCTCTCTCTAGCCAAGGATATCCTTCGATTTACCGCGAAATTGAGCCGCAAATAAGACCAATACTTTTCCTTTACCGCTAATTAGAATGAATGGCGTGGGCGTACGTTTGTTAGACTTGCGTTTCTATTCGTTTTAATTGTTTGAAGTTTGGCCAGGGAAGAGACCTCATCGGAATGGGAAAGAGTCCTCTCTTGCTCAAAGAACGTTCATATTCACACTTGAAAAAAATGAACATTTTACTGTTGCTGATAGAATTTTCATTAAGGAATTTTTCAGCTAGGTTCTTGTGAAACATCAAATCTTAGCCATAGTAGATCCGTTTCATTGAAGTACTACTATAACAAAAATATCCACGAAGCGAACCTTTTTCCATATTTTCATTTTCAACCGTCGGTTTTTAATATGTTTGGAATTCTATAGACTAAGTTTGTGTTAGTGTGAAATGCGAATAATATAAAATAATGTCAGGTTTATAATTTACACCCAGTTTTTAATCAACGTTGAAATCTTCTGGTGAATTGTGCAAGTTCCATGCTAGTAAAACTAAGAAGATCTTAGAGTGTGGGATGTCTTTAGTGGAATAATTAGTTGACATTATACAACTAAACATCCAACCAAAAAACGCTGTAGACACATGTCCACTTTTATTCATATATACTTTTCCGAAAACTCTAATTTCAAGATGAATGTCTGACCAACCTAAATGTTATTTACCCTTCTTTGTGTTGATTTGTGAATATAAGCTGTGTCCTATAAATAATGAAACTCGATCATTTTACTGGAAATGGTATGTTACAATTCTTAAATCTGTTAAAATGTTTCTTTGAAATGTTTATTAGTATAATGCATGATATTTTTCACTATGAATTTAGGTGTCATATGTTACATTATATTGCTATCACCCTATCAATGAAATCTTTTTAATTTGGAATATGCCCAAAAATAATAAAATTTTCGTTTTATGTTCCAGTAAGCAGCCAGAAGTCGAACGAGCAGGAGGACCCATGCAAGGTCAAGTTCAGGGTGGTGGCCGACGCGACGTATTGTGACAGGTATTGGGAATGTGTCAATGGTCAGCCAGAGTTGTACGACTGCCCCAACGGCTTGGTGTACGCTGGGAAGAACCGTGGAGTGACTGAGGGCTGCGACTATCCCTGGAGAGCGAACTACTGCGAGGACAAGACGCAAGCAAGTCAGTATATTACTCCAAAACACTTATAGACATATATATATACTTATATATATACCTATACACATATACTTATAGACATACCAGAAACAAAAGAACCCTGGGCCTTTTCGAGCCGCGCAGGTTTGAAGGGTACGTCACACCCACCGGCGCGAACCACGTGATCATTACGTTTCTGCGCAGGTTGTTTTGTTCTTGGAATGTCTATAACCCACAACAGAGAGAGTATAGCTTCCTCTTGAAGTTACTAGATTGATTAACACTAAACGATACTATTGATTGACTGTAGTGTAAAGAGCTTGAAACTAAAGTTACTATCCTCAGTGGACAAATAACTATGGTGAGGGACAAAAAACATCCGAAGGATCAGTAGAACGTTCCCTCACATCACGTTAGTTGAGAAATAATATTGTTGCTTACCCAACCAGTAATTAACCTGAACGAATGTGTTTGGGTAGACTCAAGTCAATGGATAAATCTATTAGATGACGAGATATATCTCAATCTATGAAGTTTATATTATAGTACATTCTATCACTGCGACTTACCTCAGTTTCTCTCCAGGATTAAGTTTGAAGTATTTCTCCAACGTCCTTATACCTCCACTCAATCATGTGAATTAGAATTGAGCTTTGCCCTTAGACCATTACTTAGACCATTAAAACTTAATTCTGCCAACAATAGTTGTGGTGATTTTAATAGACTGTCCTTCATTGTTAGGCTTTTAATAAGTCCTAACTTAGACAAACCTCTACGTTAGTTATACAAACTGATTCTTAATTCGTATTCACCTAAAATTTGCACCATCATAGTTGTCTTGACTCAATAAGGCTATCAAGTTATTTAAAATGTGTGAACAGAAATGTATCCTACGAAGATTTAAAAGTTGCAGTCAACATTTTACCTCTGTGAAGCCTGTCTAATTTGCAGAAAAAAGGTTGCACTACCCTTAAGATTAATCGTTTTAAGATACAATATACCTTACTCCTGATCTATTTGGCAAACTAACATAGTAATCATGCAGCATAAAATTTTAGTAACCTTAATCCTCTAACTCTTCATCAATCTCTTTTCCCTAGACGGACCTATCGGCAGAGAACACTGTGACTGGCTCTACGGCATCTTCGGCCACGAGACCTCCTGCACTCGCTACTGGACCTGCTGGAATGGAACAGCCACCGAACAACTCTGTATTGGAGGACTCCTCTACAACGAGAACACTCACTCCTGCGACTGGCCTGAGAATGTAGACGGCTGCCAGAAACATCGTGAGTAGTTGAACAGCTGATCAACTGATCAGCTGATTTGTAAAGTCGTGGCTAAATGGTCAGTGATTTCGTTGCCCTTGGGTGAATTTTGTGGTTAAAGAGTCATTATGGACATCAAGGTATGCTACCTGTTAAATTTTATGAATGAGGTGGATTTCTACAGAAAAGTCTTTTCATATTCAACCATAATGTGCTTAAAAAAAATTAAAACCACCTAGAAATATTGAAAAAGTATCAACAAGGTAGCTTTTAGACATAACCTAATTCATATGCGTCAGAATAAAGAGAGATCTAAATATATGAGAACACTTAAGACCTTTAAGAAGTAAATATTAAAAATAAAATGAACATTTCTCGTTATTGAGGCAAACCTAGTAAGTCATGTTACTTTCTTTTAGTTTCTTTTAACTTCTAGTGCATTAATATTTACTTTGTTTGGTTTTTATTTTATTTTATCCAATATTTACTTCAATATTTGCCTGATATTATCCTGATTAACATTTGTACAAGCCTCTAATATTCTAATATGCAGATTTTTCTAGGGGTTTTCAGCATTTTACGTGATGAAATGTAATTAATATCGGGGCCACATTTATCAATATTTTGACATTTTTTGCATAACATATCTAATCTAACTTTTGACCCGAACTTACTGCTGATAACTAGTGGTTAACCGGAATAAATCTTTTTGTTGAATAGTAGGAGGAGGATTTTCATTGTTTTGATGAAAGAATAAAACGTTTTACGTTATTGAACTTTAATTACTCTAATGTTAGAGGTTAAATGCTTAGGGAATGCTAGATTATAATCGAAACACAATTAAACGCTTTTAATGTGCGCTTAGACCTGACAAGCTTTTCTCTATGATATTTGATCAAAATAATTGAAATACGCATTCAAAACTGCCTTAATCTTTTACCGGGGGGGGGGGGTGTGTGGATCGAGAGTAATGTCATATTTATAGCCCGGGGCTGATAGCGTCTTTTTATTTGAAGAGTAAGAATATATCTAATTGGTATGATCTCGTATTCTGTATGATGGAGCCTCCTGTTCCTCCGTCCTCCTGGGTTCTGGCCAATAGTTTAAGGCCCTGGCCAGTCCCAGGAAGACGCAGGTTCAGAGGGCAGGTTCCATCATACATACTGTAGCCTTTGTAAATCTGTTTCCCCCTTCATCTGTAAAACCTACATTTTATGGATAGATAAAAGTCTGTCAAAGTCCTTCTTTTCCTTGCACTACTAGTCTATACAATCACTTACAACAGTCATAACTACTGTAGTTACAACTATTATAAATGGATTTTCTTTTACTTAGCTCTCTGCAATGACGACGCCAACGGCAACGTTCCCCTAGGCAAATCCTGCAACCGCTACTGGCAGTGCCAAGGAGGATACCCCAGACTGCAGAGATGTCCTGCCATGTTGGTCTTTGACAGGAGATCTTTGAGATGTGTCGTTCCTCCCACGGAAGACTGCGAGGTATTTATACATCCTTTAGATAGGTTTAGGTTTAAAATAAAATGAGGGAACCTGTGTGAAAGTTGCGCCGTTTTACAGGGTTCAAAATTTGTTTCTGATGCAAAATGAGTCCAGTGCAATGCTTATTTACCTTATCAAGATTACGTTTGTTTAAAACTGTTATTTGGTGCATAAAACAACTAGTTAACAGTGCATTTGTTCATTTTGGATCTACACTATACAGAGTTATTTACCTATCGGAATCAGGTTGCAACAATTAATGAAGGTAGCCTGTTTAAAATTCAGTTTCATAAACGTATCACCTCTTGCTTACAATTTTACTGTAGTTAAACAATTAACCATAGGATCAGCTGTTACATTAAAGTTCACATTAAAAACTGTTATAAAGGAAGCTTTTCAGTATCACTGGATCTTTAAATACGAGAAATAAATCAAACCCGGGGGGGGGGGCAAAGCCTTAAAGGAATTTACCATTTTTAGTTACCGTTCGCCCCTCTAAGAGATCATAAGCTTTACAATAACAATTCTATCGTAAAAGTCAGTTAAGTAGGACAGGTGAAAAAGGGATGTTACTGACAATTGTCTAACAGATTTTTACAGCTGAAAGACTGTCCATAAGGCAAACCCACGATGGTTGATGGTAGTGTCAGTTTCAAATTTCAATGAAAAACTATTACTTTGTATAACAGTTTATTGCATATTATATGTCTCTGTAGACCTAAAATATCATGAAACCAATTTTAATAACTTATTGACTAAACATATGTTTGAAAATGTACAGAGATATAATTGTCAGTAAATATAAGTACGTGAACTTAAGAACAAGAAGGGAATTTGGTAACAGTAACTTGAACAGATCACTAACAATTACTACTAAATACAAAACATAATTTGAAAACTGAAAAGTGCAGCAGATTAGAACACATATTCAATATGTTCAATACTCAGGTTTAACATTAATACTCCCTGTCAGATTTGCAGTTGGTTTAGTAATGAAAGCGATTGATTTCAGTCCCTAGGCCTGGATTCAAATCTCATAAATAAGAAATTGCTTAGCTATGCTGAAATACTACGAACTAGTAGTTTAGTACTCACCTTAAGTTAAGTTTTTACCAAGTCTTTTTGTTTGGGAATTTTGTATGTTTTGGGGAAGCTCCTTAATGAAAATACTCAAACAATAATGGTTATTTTACACTGTGTAGAAACATTACAATAATCATTTTTTTTATTTTTCCAGGTACCAACGACACCACCACCCCAACCAGGCGATCTCGAGGAAGACGGAGAACAAAATATTCCTCAGCAGTTGCAGCAAAGACCTGCTAGAGTTCAGCAACAACAACAGAATCAGCAACAGAACCAACAGAACCAACAACAGCAACAGAATGTTCCATTCAACCTGCCACAAGGGGCGGTCCCCATCCCCGTTAGAAACAATAGGCCTAGAAACTAAGTTTGTTGCTCAGACACTTAAAACACCGGTTGATTAGATAACATCAGTTTTAGACTACAAACCAGCCATTGTAAGACTGTTGTTTCAGACGTTTGCCCTGCCAAACCACCAAATAAGAAAATTTGTCTATTTTTAAGTTAGGATAAGGTTTAATGTAAGTTTATATTAAGGATCAAAATAAAAGTCTTAGTTTATTTAAGGTTGAGTTTTGCTTACCTTTGTCTGGAAATAGGGGTTGGCTTAATACGTTTTGATCGGTCGAAAAAGTACAGACAGGTTAAGTAAAACTTAAATAAGAATTAAGTTAAAATAATTACATTCTCAACCAAAAATGTCTTCACTCTAGGTGTGACAAAATGTACACTTTCCATGTCCGGAAATCAGACTTCGCTTTTCCAAAAATTAGCTACCGATATGGCTTTGTCATTCGCATGTAAAAGATCATCTAATGTGCAAGACTGGTCTAGGCGTGGGCAGATCAGCAGATGGCCAGGATCCTGAACAGCACCACACGCGCACAAGATGTTTTCTTCGTCTGGTAAGAGACCCCATTTCTGCATGTTTGTCTTGCATTTTGGTACCTCGACCTTAATTCGATTTAGGGTCTCCCACAATCAATCGACGTTTTCCGGATGACGTCAAAATGTACACACAATGATTGACATTGTCTTATATTTGATGGATAACTGAAGATTAGGTATGAAGTCTGGTTCTATATAGGTGCCTTGTGAAGAAAATATATTTAGATATTTACTCCACCACTGGTAAGTACATCCAATAATCGATGATCACATGATCACAAATAATATTCGAAATAGTATCCTGATATTTGGATCTTTGGAAAGGGTGACTTATTTTAAACGTAACAAAAATATAGATAACTTTTTAGGGGCAAAATTAGTTTAAAAGCTGCCATTCCTGCTTCCTTAAATCAGTACCGATCAGCTGATTTGCATTGTTGTCTACATGGTTAAGTATTGTGGGAAACTTATTCGGGAAATGATTTAACATTAGGTTTTATGTTTGTATAAAACTGTTTTGATCTGTTTTCAGGGCTGTATTGTTGTCAAATGAATAAGAATCGGCAAAGAAAGGACTCAGTGGAGATAGAACTATTCAGAAAAAATCTAGGTTCCTTTTTAGTTTTTAGTCATAGAAAAATGTTGCAAATGTCCTACCACCCATTAGAATCACTACTTTAAAATGCGGAAAATTACTGTGTAAAATCATTCTTTAAAATATTTTATACATAATTTGCCTCCAGGATTGATTTATTGACATTATATGAGATTACTAACCTGTCGTCAATCAGTCCTCTATTGTCGTGGAAGACTATATTTTCGGGGTTAAAACCCCGTTTTCAAATCTTCTCTTCAGTCGTCATATGTCAAACATATCTTCTTGCACTAGCCGTGTAATTTGACGACCTAATTTAGTCAAGATTTCACACCTTCTTTGTTTAATATAATTTCAATAAATATGCAAAGAAATATATTTAAAAAAAACATACATAGCCCTGATTTAAGTATTATAAAACTCGACAATTAATGCTTTAACAGCTAGCAGTTTGGGTCTGTGAGAAATATTATTAACAATGTTCTGAATATACAATGAGTTTCAACAGTTACGAAATCAAGAATTCGTGCAAAACTAGGAGAGATATGAGTTCTAAAGCTATTAGACGTTTCTATATATCGTGTTCTATCATACATCGTCTAATATAACGACATACATATCTATATATAGTTTTTGTAGCTATATTTTGCGAGCTAGGAGCATTTCTACCAAATCCACTTTCAATGTAGTTAAAATACATAGGCTACGAATAAGAACATGTAAATACAGATTCAAAAATATGACGATTTAGCTGTAACTCAGAGTAGTATTTTAATACAAATTAACAAGTCAAATCTCAACCTGTTCTTACCTGTTCTTCCTTAAACTTTTTGTTTTCTTTGTCTGTTACGAGAATTTTTTTTCTTTCTCTTATCTTGAAACAGTAAAGGAGTAAATCTGTTGTGTATAATTCCATGATTTCGTTGTTGAAACTTACAATGATTGCTGTTCAATGGTGGTATATCAAATAGCTTTCTTATGTTTGGGATTAAAGTTATCTATGTCGAGTTGTTGATCTTTGAAGATAAGGTAAAATAGATCAATTTTAAAAATTAACACTAAGCCTTAGGTGGATTGTATGTGTACTGGTTTTTAGTGCACTGAACCCCAATGTGAAATACAAAATGAAACAATATTAAAGATATAGAATTGGATGAGTATTAAATTATCCAAAATCAATGGGAAATATCTGACATAAAATAATATTTGAGTATTTTCATACATTCGGGTTGGTAAGATCATTGTGGATTGATTTTAAAATTATCTCAACTCTTACTATTAGATGTGTAAAGGTTGGGTTCAGCTTATATATTATCATAGATTACTCATTCGATTATATTATTTTAGTCAACTCAGTGAAATAATCTGTTTTAGGCTTGTTTATCAAATTTGATTTCCAACTTTAAAATGAACACCTTTTTATGGTAACTTTTAAAGACCGTTATGGAATAATAGTATAGCAATGTCTGGCTATATTATTTAGATCATCATTTTAATATGTTAATGTTCTTTTAGTCATGTGAATTTTAGTGAAATATGTATAAATAATACAAATAAATAAACAATTGCATGGTTATCGTTATAACCATGAAGGGTAGGTTAATTGTTCCAAGAAACATCTGATCATGATTGAATTAACTAAATATAATATACGTTTTACATTAAAAGGGGTTTCAAAAGCTAATAAACTATTCACATCAACTATTTATAGTACAATTTACAGTGATAAACAATTTACATGGTAGTTTTTATATTATTTGATATGTTGATGTATATCATGACTTGTTTGGAGGTATTAGATCTTCTGATGTAGTTTTCTCCAATTCCAGGCTATTTCCTATTCTGCGTTGATTTACTTCTTGCCGAAACCACTGGAACAGAGAAGAAAAATCATAGTCCATTTAAACTGGTTGGGTAAAAGGTATTTTGACAATCACTAAGATAATTAATTCTTCTTCTTAAAAAACATAATTGGGATATATAGTTTTGTTAAGCGTGACATAAACTCTTCATTAGTTCCAAGATATAATTTAAAAGTCCATCTTGCCTCATATTTTTAATGTGGACTTTACCAACGATTATATACTTATAAACTTCATAAATTCAAGACCCTCCCTTCCCTTTTAGTCATAACTAGCTGTGTACCCGTTCTACGCACGGGGATCTTATAATATTCAGTTGAAACCTTCTTATATAAAGAACAGCAGTTGGTTTGCATATTTTAAGATATGCTGGCCAAACTATTATACATAGCTTCATTTTATGTTGTTTTTTGTTGTTCCGGATCGGTATGACAATCAATAAAAGGTTAAATTACCTCTGTGTCTGCCGGTCGATCCTATAACGGTAGGCTTACTTTTATTTTTACTATCTGATCTCGTTTGCATGGCTCAATCACGTCCTGGTTGAAGTTCGTTCGCTACGCTCACTCACCTGTATGTTGGAGCTCGTTCGCTGCGCTCACTTTCCTTCAGGTTAGCTCGTTCGCTACGCTCACTTGCCTTCAGGTTAGCTCGTTCGCTACGCTCACTCGCCTCCAGGTTGCAAATTAGCTGTTGTCATAAATGTAAAAGAAATAATAGTGCTAGTGCTGCACCCTGTTGGTAATCCTTGTAACTTTAATGCTATTGAACATCACAGAACAGAACCAACTTGTTTAATTGAAACAGCTGTTAAGATTCAATAATTTCATTTCTCATAAGGTTAACATGGGCTTCCAGAAATTCCACGTCAAAAATCGACAAAAACTTGATTTTCAAGGGTTTACTGTTAAATATCTAACTGTCTCATATTCGATGAAATACGTCTAAAACCATCTCATATATGTATAGTATTTGGAAAATAAGTTTCAGGCGGGACAGTGCTATAGTTATTGAGGAGTAGTTGTAATAAAGTGCGTATTTTAGCGTTACCAAGAGAATGACAGATAGACAGACAGACAGACAGACAGACAGACAGACAGACAGAAATTGAGATAAGGTTTGATTCGGTTTCTCTGACCTATGAAATGTAAAAATAACCAAAAAGTTCATTATTCTAAGCAATGTACAGACAAAACTCTAATTTTATTTATATAGACTAGCTGTGTACCCGTTCTACGCACGGGGATCTTATAATATTCAGTTGAAACCTTCTTATATAAAGAACAGCAGTTGGTTTGCATATTTTAAGATATGCTGGCCAAACTATTATACATAGCTTCATTTTATGTTGTTTTTTGTTGTTCCGGATCGGTATGACAATCAATAAAAGGTTAAATTACCTCTGTGTCTGCCGGTCGATCCTATAACGGTAGGCTTACTTTTATTTTTACTATCTGATCTCGTTTGCATGGCTCAATCACGTCCTGGTTGAAGTTCGTTCGCTACGCTCACTCACCTGTATGTTGGAGCTCGTTCGCTGCGCTCACTTTCCTTCAGGTTAGCTCGTTCGCTACGCTCACTTGCCTTCAGGTTAGCTCGTTCGCTACGCTCACTCGCCTCCAGGTTGCAAATTAGCTGTTGTCTTAAATGTAAAAGAAATAATAGTGCTAGTGCTGCACCCTGTTGGTAATCCTTGTAACTTTAATGCTATTGAACATCACAGAACAGAACCAACTTGTTTAATTGAAACAGCTGTTAAGATTCAATAATTTCATTTCTCATAAGGTTAACATGGGCTTCCAGAAATTCCACGTCAAAAATCGACAAAAACTTGATTTTCAAGGGTTTACTGTTAAATATCTAACTGTCTCATATTCGATGAAATACGTCTAAAACCATCTCATATATGTATAGTATTTGGAAAATAAGTTTCAGGCGGGACAGTGCTATAGTTATTGAGGAGTAGTTGTAATAAAGTGCGTATTTTAGCGTTACCAAGAGAATGACAGATAGACAGACAGACAGACAGACAGACAGACAGACAGACAGAAATTGAGATAAGGTTTGATTCGGTTTCTCTGACCTATGAAATGTAAAAATAACCAAAAAGTTCATTATTCTAAGCAATGTACAGACAAAACTCTAATTTTATTTATATAGACTAGCTGTGTACCCGTTCTACGCACGGGGATCTTATAATATTCAGTTGAAACCTTCTTATATAAAGAACAGCAGTTGGTTTGCATATTTTAAGATATGCTGGCCAAACTATTATACATAGCTTCATTTTATGTTGTTTTTTGTTGTTCCGGATCGGTATGACAATCAATAAAAGGTTAAATTACCTCTGTGTCTGCCGGTCGATCCTATAACGGTAGGCTTACTTTTATTTTTACTATCTGATCTCGTTTGCATGGCTCAATCACGTCCTGGTTGAAGTTCGTTCGCTACGCTCACTCACCTGTATGTTGGAGCTCGTTCGCTGCGCTCACTTTCCTTCAGGTTAGCTCGTTCGCTACGCTCACTTGCCTTCAGGTTAGCTCGTTCGCTACGCTCACTCGCCTCCAGGTTGCAAATTAGCTGTTGTCTTAAATGTAAAAGAAATAATAGTGCTAGTGCTGCACCCTGTTGGTAATCCTTGTAACTTTAATGCTATTGAACATCACAGAACAGAACCAACTTGTTTAATTGAAACAGCTGTTAAGATTCAATAATTTCATTTCTCATAAGGTTAACATGGGCTTCCAGAAATTCCACGTCAAAAATCGACAAAAACTTGATTTTCAAGGGTTTACTGTTAAATATCTAACTGTCTCATATTCGATGAAATACGTCTAAAACCATCTCATATATGTATAGTATTTGGAAAATAAGTTTCAGGCGGGACAGTGCTATAGTTATTGAGGAGTAGTTGTAATAAAGTGCGTATTTTAGCGTTACCAAGAGAATGACAGATAGACAGACAGACAGACAGACAGACAGACAGACAGACAGAAATTGAGATAAGGTTTGATTCGGTTTCTCTGACCTATGAAATGTAAAAATAACCAAAAAGTTCATTATTCTAAGCAATGTACAGACAAAACTCTAATTTTATTTATATAGATATCTCAATTCCAATGTAAAAACTTAAAACAGTTATCATTCTACTTCTCTTACCTAAATCAAGGTCTTTCTAGGTTACTTGTATACCTAACTTTTTTCTTGTCTAGACAATGTTTAATAACAATTTCAAAACGTTAACCTGGCCTACTAGGAACGCACACAGCTACATTCCAAATGTATCCTAATAAAATTCAAATATCACTCACTGACTAACTGATCACTATATCTCAAAACTTACAAGCCATAAAACTCCGAAATTGGCATAGAGGTTCCAACCAATCTCTTGGTGAATAAGAAAGGTTTTCAAGAAATTCCATCAGAGCTCTGCCCCAATGGCTTTTAGTTTGAGCTCCATATCTCATAAACCGGACTAAAGACTTTACCCAGTTACTTAGCAATTCCTTCATCTTTATGATCCACAGTTACTCACTTTCAGCCCTACTCTACAAACCCTCTACTCACCACTTGGACCTAGCGTCCTCAGGTTCCTCACAGGTAAGGGTAGACTCGTCAAAGACCTTGCCGTCTCCGCAGGTGATCAGTCGGGGGTAGCCGTAAACACTTCTCTTCTACCCTCCCCTCTATGAACTATTTCTCTACTCACCACTTGGACCTAGCGTCCTCAGGCTCCTCGCAGGTAAGGGTAGACTCGTCAAAGACCTTGCCGTCTCCGCAGGTGATCAGTCGGGGGTAGCCGTTAACACTTCTCTTCTACCCTACTCTCTATGAGGTATTTCCCTACTCACCACTTGGACCTAGCATCCTCAGGCTCCTCACAGGTAAGGGTAGACTCGTCAAAGACCTTGCCGTCTCCGCAGGTGATCAGTCGGGGGTAGCCGTTAACACTTCTCTTCTACCCTACTCTCTATGAGGTATTTCCCTACTCACCACTTGGACCTAGCGTCCTCAGGCTCCTCGCAGGTAAGGGTAGACTCGTCAAAGACCTTGCCGTCTCCGCAGGTGATCAGTCGGGGGTAGCCGTTAACACTTCTCTTCTACCCTACTCTCTATGAGGTATTTCCCTACTCACCACTTGGACCTAGCGTCCTCAGGCTCCTCGCAGGTAAGGGTAGACTCGTCAAAGACCTTGCCGTCTCCGCAGGTGATCAGTCGGGGGTAGCCGTTAACACTTCTCTTCTACCCTACTCTCTATGAGGTATTTCCCTACTCACCACTTGGACCTAGCATCCTCAGGCTCCTCGCAGGTAAGGGTAGACTCGTCAAAGACCTTGCCGTCTCCGCAGGTGATCAGTCGGGGGTAGCCGTTAACACTTCTCTTCTACCCTACTCTCTATGAGGTATTTCCCTACTCACCACTTGGACCTAGCGTCCTCAGGCTCCTCGCAGGTAAGGGTAGACTCGTCAAAGACCTTGCCGTCTCCGCAGGTGATCAGTCGGGGGTAGCCGTTAACACTTCTCTTCTACCCTACTCTCTATGAGGTATTTCCCTACTCACCACTTGGACCTAGCATCCTCAGGCTCCTCGCAGGTAAGGGTAGACTCGTCAAAGACCTTGCCGTCGCCGCAGGTGATCAGTCGGGGGTAGCCGTTAACACTTCTCTTCTACCCTACTCTCTATGAGGTATTTCCCTACTCACCACTTGGACCTAGCATCCTCAGGCTCCTCGCAGGTAAGGGTAGACTCGTCAAAGACCTTGCCGTCTCCGCAGGTGATCAGTCGGGGGTAGCCATTAACACTTCTCTTCTACCATACTCTCTATGAACTATTTCCCTACTCACCACTTGGACCTAGCGTCCTCAGGCTCCTCGCAGGTAAGGGTGGACTCGTCAAAGACCTTGCCGTCTCCACAGGTGATCAGTCGGGGGTAGCCGTTGACACAGGTGATGAGACGCTCACAGTCTCCGGGCACAGCGAACCTTGGGAAGGGCCAGAACTTGGCTGCCACAGAGTGAGGGTCGACCTTGTCTGGGCACTTGAATCCGAGCACGGCTGTGGACATGGAGAGTTGTGTGAGATAAAAATATCAGCACAACTGTAAAATATAATTTTGTGTGTCCTCTGTAGTGGAATTTTTTTAAGTAACTCAAACTAACTTCAAGGGAAAAGGGGGCTGAGCCCTTTTAAAATTTGTATGCTGAGCATCAAACTCGGTTATCCCGCACGGCATTCCAAAATGTTAACTACTATGATATCAACACACCCATAAGTTTTGAGTTAACGTTGGTTCGATAAGTTTTGTTCCGGGATAAAATGGTTTGTAACAAACCAACCATCCTCTTTTGTTATACTTGTATTTGATAAGTTCTCGTCCTTAAAATGTGCAATATTCCAAATCGTTATAGTAGATTTCGTCAAAACCTACCTTTATGATGGTCATTTCTGCAATGGTATGTAGGTTATAAAAAGTATACCATAAATAAATGCTTATGGTTACATTTTAACCCTAAATGGGCCACAAAAATAAATGGATATTTTTATAAGAAAGTATGAGTTGTGTGCTCCAATGTTGCATGTTGAAAAACAACATTGAATGTAGAAATGTTTTACGGTTATTCTCCTTTACACTACTGTACTCCCATTTAACTCTGCTTTTTGCAAGCTTGACAAAAGTCTGGATCGACCTCTGGAAAAATCACTGGTGATTAACAGTTAGAGAGAATTATAACGACATAATTGGAACTAACAATCCATAAGTTGCAAATTCCTTCCATACGTTTTAGAACCAATAGAAAAGTTTGGAACACCTAAACTGGTTGTCACATATAAATCATAAACTAAGATAAAAAATAGACAATCTTAATCTCAAATTCCATTCCGGGTTCCCCAATTCTTGATTCATAGTGACTTATTCCTGCGATGGATATCTTTTAGTACGCCCTTTCCTATCCTTCTTCTCTTTCTTTCTTAATGATTCACCAAGTGGCAAGACCACTAGCTGTTCAAAGGCAAGACTTTTCCACCTTTATTCTCCCTGCCCACCCCAGATACCTTACATACCCTCAGGGTTGCATTGGTCGAGCAGCATATCAGGCCAGTTACAGGAGTGAGTCTTGTCGTCGTAGGCCAGGCCGGGCTCACAGGGTGTCTGGTAAGGGTACCCGTGCTCGCATTTGATGTAGTTGGTGCTGCAGGAGGAGCTCTCTGGGTAGATACCGAACTTGTACTCACAGCCTGGTGAGGACTCTGGTACCACTGTTTGAAAAAAACAGGGGGTTGAGACTACTGCTTGTGAATCAACAGTCAAATTGTTAGGCGAGGCGGGTTTTTTAATTGGACATGCATTTTTTTTCTAAAACATTATCCTCGAAAATAATGATCTTTAATGGTTAATTTTGAGGTAAAATCAAGAACCCACATCCATTTTTGAATGGTAAAGAACCTCCAAGGCATAGGAAATATTGTATTTGAGGCTCCACTACAGGAAAATAATCAAAATATCGACCTTGGCAAGGGTACTAAGATTGGCAATAAACGTTTTTTCTCTTGTCATATGAGACAATTTACATAAAGCTAAATTTTTGTATTGTTATCAAGATTGTATGGGAAAAAATGTCACTGCTACTAATAATATGAAATGTGAGATTACTTTAACTTTAAATTATACTGCTTTCAACATAATTTTAGCATAATTCAACATGATTCTAGTAAACGTTTCATGTATCTATCCACTCACTAGATCAATCTAGAAAATCTCTATTGCCTTCATATAAGCATCAATCTATCAGTCATATCTCCATTCTAGGAAAAGTTGTATAGTCACAGAACAATTCTATGAAATGTTTAATGGCTTTATCGTCCCATAGCATCATTCTAGGAAGTGCTTAATGACTTTTATTTTGTTACAGCATCATACTGTGAAATTTCTAATGATTTGATCAACTCACATCATAAGCCCATGAAAATAATGAACAATGTTTACTCACAAACTGCCTTCCTGTTTCCACACTCTACTCCCCAGTGGTAGTTGCAGTGGTTGTGGACGTTGCCCTTGCCGTCGTACAGGAGACCATTCTCACACTGCTCCAAGGTCAAAGTTCCATTGGTACACTTGAAGAAGTGGTCACAAGCCTCTGGGTGCTCGTAGGTCTGGACTCCGTACTGCTCTGGGCATCCTGGGGCATCTAGGACTGGCAGACAGTGACCTGGAAGAAACAAGGCTAGTAAAAGCTGGACAAAATGAAAAAAAATATATAAACTTGCAAATCAGATCAACATTTTATTTTTTGGAAGCCACAAATGACTGTCAAAAGTGTTTTCTTTTCCGATAAACAGATGGTTGCTACATGATTCAACCCATGCAATACGGAATGTGCTATATGAAAACTATATTCACCAAAACATATACCACCCTGGTTATTGCTACGGAATCTGCTGACGAATACCGTCCATATTAGTCTGTATTGCTGTTTTTGGGTGTGTTTAACTAAATTTTAATTTATTTTATTAATGAAAATTGACACTGTATACCCTTAATGACTGGAATTTCTACAAATAATTTGGTATGGACACTTTTGAACTTATTGCAACTACATTATTTCTTTTTTTAGGGGAGTGAGGAAAAACACTCCCCTACATACATTTTCCTACAGTTACCTAACAATGTACATGTTCTTTTACTGATTCGAGAAAGCAAAGTGGCCAATTCTCTCATCAGTGAGACAATGTTAACATAGTCTCACTCTAATTACTTTGTCTCACTCCAGATTTGCAACGTGAAGGCACGAAATAGTGAGCGCGTAACATGCAGGCAACGTCGTATGCGCGCGAAATACGTTCGCAGCACTGGCTGTAAATCAGCTGGTCAGCTGTTGTACTGTTGTATTTGTCACTTCACATTAAAATGTTATATTAAAAGTTCACTTCTGTGTAAAAATGGGTTATGTTTCCCCTATAAAAAAGTAATTTCCGGCCATATATGGCTATATCAAAATTCCATATATGTTTTTATAAAGCCATATATGGTTTAATATGGCCATATATGGAAGCAGATATGGCCAGATGTGGTTGTATCCATATATGGTGGTGTCCATATATGGTCATATATGTAGTCTATATATGGAATTATTGGCCATATATGGCCATACATGTTTTCTATATATGAAATGATTGTCCATATATGGCCATACATGTTTTCTATATATGAAATTATTGCCCATATATGGCCATAAATATCCTCCATATATGGAATCATGGTCTATATATGGCCATATATGACTCCCAGGTATGGAATTAAATTACTCATATACGGAATAATAATTTTCCATTTATGCTCATGTATAAATGAGTTTTTGACAATAACTGGAATTATTATAAGGAATTGTTGCCACATTTGGATTTTGTAACTGGACTCCTAAACACTTCTTTTAATATATATAATATTATACATCTTAAAGTTTGTGAGTTTGTGTATTTTCTTGTTGCTCTCGCAAGCACAAACTACTGAACTGATTGAGTTGAAATGTGGTACAGTAGGGGGGCAGATAAAATAGGCATTTCTCATTTAAAGTAATTAGTAGTAAAGTAATAAAGTATCCAGATTTTAACCCAGATGACAAAATCCTGTACATACATCTATTGTACAATTTTATTATAACGCAACAAACTTTAAAACTGACGTATAATTTTAAAATTGCAAGTGTAGTAGGCCTAAATAAAGAGAAAATTATATTTGCCTATCAAACAGCCGCAAATATCTATGTCCCGTAGTTAGGCTATATTAATAATAACATTCTTCAAATGACATAAAATGTCTAAGAAAATCTTATTTTACGAGACCAAATACAGCTTCTGTTATTCGTAATGGGTGTTGTTAAGACATTTGATATGAAGCGGTTGTGGTGTAGTGGTTAAAGGGGCAGACTCCCACGCTGGAGTCCCGGGTTCAATTCCCAATCGGCAAATTTAAAATTTTGTTTTGAAATTTTCGAATTAAAAATTTTTATTATGGTTTTAATGCATAGTTTATACTATTTAATGTTAAAATATGTTAAATTGTAATTTTTTTATTTATTTATATATTTTTATTTAAAAATTTCCATATATGGAGGATTCCATATATGATCATATCTGTTTATATTTGGTCCAAAACCAAATATAACCAGATAAAAAAAATTTTTATATGGCCATATATAAACTTTTTCATAAGGGTTCTACACAAATTTATTTGTTTTATGGTAACTGTAGGAAAAGTATAATGTGCAACTCGAGTTCAAAGTACAATTGCCTCACTCGAGAAACCATTCCTCACTCGCCTACGGCTCGTGAGTAAGGATTTCTCTCGAGTGAGTCAATTGCTCACTTTTCTCACTAGTTGCACAAATAACTATTACGCAGTGGGAGACTCCTCAGAGGATCAGACTACTCACTAAAAAACTTCTCTACTCTGTTGGACACAGACCTGGGATTGTTTGTCACTATGTATGTAGCTCTAATACAATAACTAACTACTGATCACTACTTACACTACCTATCTGAATCATTTTTTACTTACGGAAGCTACAACACTTTTATATCTTCACACTAGTTTATATTTTTACTTCATGATGATTTAGTTATATTTATTTTAAGCTAATTATTTTCATAGCTATGACTAGTACCTCCATAAATCAACAATACTTCGTGGTTTTTCTATAATGAAACTATCAAAAACATTATAATAATCTCAACCGATTTCTATGCCTGTAACGGAACAAATATGATTTTTTAATGGCCAAAAGTGTGTTTTACAAGATATCATACACGTCTCACAGCTAAACAAAAAATTCACACCGATGTATGAGGCAAGGCAGAAATGTCAACGCCATCAAAAGGTCGAGAGAAAGTGCTTTGCCCTAAATAATTAAATCGATTATTTTGGCCTCATTGTTGCTGTTATGCAATGTAAACAGCTGACAAACTGCCTTAAATGGGAATTGATTTGCTTTTACTATTGATATAACTTTACTTTCCTTTCTCGAATTAGAGTTGTACCCTAAAGTTGGGATAGAGTCTCGGATTTTGCTGTTGTCAATTGCTGTTTTTTTGGAAACATTAAATTTTTAACTAAGTTTAAGGGTATATCTTATTGTACATCGTATAAACTACAATAAACTGTAAAACAGTAATAGATTTCACTAAACTGGACCGTATGGAATTAAATGTCTGAACTTGTATCCGAAAATCAATGATATTTTCAATGATTGATGTAAAGAAATATAATCTTGTTGGAATTGTGGATATTTATAGCTATGCACTGTGGATTCGATGCTCCCTGGTGTGTATTAACGTCCGAAATAGTGAGTACTGCCACTATCCGCAGTACTACCCTGATAATTAGACCAATTAGTTTATTACGAGAAAAAAATGTGGTTCGAATTCCACTATAAACTGTAGGTCCCTTAGTTGACATTGGCTGTATGGGCTATTAATTGACAGCTGTGTCTAAGGAACATGTCGGCCTTAATCACTAACAAGGCTACAAGATCACGCCACTCATCCTTCACCCATAGTTGGATTAAAATACACACCTAGTGACTTCCCCACATTAAATAATTGATATCGCTTTCATTCTGTTTAGCTCGTGGTACATTTTTATCTTGCTACATTTTGGATTATATGTAACGTTTAAATGATTATCAATTATTGAGCTTGAAAATATAACTGTTAACGTGCGTAACAAAAACTACGTTCAACGTAAAATGTTCGTATTCCTGGATAATCATAACCTATAAAAATGGCAGTAAATGACATCCGACAAGTCGCCGTAGCTGACCCCCTTTCACCGGAAACCTGGAATATCGTGATTTATTACATTGTATAACGCGTGATATAAGCCTAACGTCACACCTTTCATAACTCATCATCGACGTGACGCTAGAGCTACATAGAAGTATCTCCAGCTGTGTTATTGTTGATCATATGATTGATTGTTGAATTGAAACGACATAAGCATCGATGAAATAACACGTAGAAGATGATATTGACACTGGAAAATTGTATTGGCTTTTGGTCTTTTACAACATATAATTTATTATTTATTTTGTGAGAAAATCATTTAACAGAAGACGTCCAACAACGAGAAAGTTTTAGAAATCAGCTAAAATCTGATGAAAAAGGCTTGAAAATACGAAATTCAAATATTATCCTGCTAAATAAGAGTAGATACTTAAGTAATAGTTTCGTTCTTATTTCGAAAAAATTTGTTTGGTAGGTTTAGTTTATGAGAAACGACAAAGTATACGGAAAATCATTAATCACATTGATTAATGATTGCCCTTTCCTGGGTTTTACTTATATTACATTATGGGTGCCTAAAATATCATAAAATTTTTTATCACAACTTATTTATATTGAGAATTTTTATAAATATACACCCCTGTTACATTATATCCAAAAAGAGGGTTATAATCTTTTGGGCCAATGAATTTCTAGTACAATATTACAACCAATAAATTGGTCTGCTGTTGAGGGTTTTTTAGAGGAATATTCCAAACAAGACTAGATTAATGTTAACGACGTGCATTTCTCTAGTTTCAAACGTTTCTATCAGAAAGAAATTTGAAGCCGCAGCGTTTCTTTGACGTTCCCAATGTTTTTCCCGCGCCAGAAAGTGAGTCGAATCTGGACCAACTAGAGTGGAGTGAAGCGAAGTGCTAAAGTCGAGTAGAAATCGAGAGTAGTTGTTACTCTGTCACTCCCTCACACCTTGACCCCGGTCACTTTCGCTGGTCGGCTTCCGAACAACCTACTATAGCCTGTAACTATGGAGATGGCCTGCTTACAGTAGGGCCATAGTGCCTCCATTGACATGGATTTTGAAGTAGACATCTCATCATAGACCACCATCGCCTCCTCTGATACAAGGCCGCGGCGAGACTTGGCAACGTCGCAGCCCAGGCCTACCTAAACAGCTGTTGCATTCATAATGGAGCTTCTGCGGAAACGTTATGTTTACACAGTTACTGTTATAACCTTGGTATTAGGCCGGCGCGACCTTGCCACACACCAACGCCACAGCCTTTGGCTTAGCAATTTTTTTAAAAATAAACCATACTTGAATGACCATCTAAGAGTGTAAGAAAGCTGTTGTCAAAAATAACTTTACTCTTTTTACCCTCTTATTACTACTCGACCGCCCTGCAGAAAATAGATTTCCTAAGACAAG